ACTCATCCATTGAGTTTACTGAATTTCATCATTTGGTAAATAGTTTTGATAATATTTGTTTGTCATAACTTTTGTTGACCTTCAAGAATCAAGAATCTATTAATATGAAAGTTTATTGGAATCACTGAGAAAATCTTGATAAGAATGGTTCATGATTAACTCTTACCTTATAGCAGAATCATTATTATTAATAGATATAGAATTACATGAAGACCCTGTATGGTTAAAATGAGAAGATTAATTAAAACCAAGAGCATAAATACATAAGTCAAACTGAATTAATGTTCCAATAATAATAGAAATTGATACAATAGTATCAACGATATTAGTTTGTATTCATCTTCTCTGAGTTTTCTGATTAAATGGTCATGTTTTAATCATAACAAATCAGGAAAAACTACAAAGGTAAGACAAAAGGTTAACCAAATAAATATCATATTCTTACCCTGGAGGTTTTTTTTTATTTGTTCACAGTTTCAATGAATCATTTATATGAACCTGATGAACTTTCTTAAGGGATTTTGGACATTGTTCAATTGTGAGCACAATCGTATTAATATTATTCTTATTATTATTATGAGTGTTATTCAAGTGTGATATTTTCACTTCTATTTATTAGTAACAAACACTTAGCATTGTCATGAAAAACTTTGCCCTCAGGGTAACATGAAAGTTTACCTTTTAAATTATTCATTAAGTTTCCATATCACTTAACGATCAGTTTTACTGAATGACAACTTTCTTATCATATAACGAGTTTATATTATTACAATTTAACGATTTTAATTAAAGTTCATTCAATCTAATATTTACTTTCATCTTCCTTCTGAAAGTTCATTTGACATTTTATTAGATGAAATTCCATCCAAGCCAATCTTCAGGGTGACTGAATAAACCAATGATTAGTTTAATAACTGGTTGATTTATGAATGAACCTAAAATTCAATGAATTTCAAGGTTCAATATATTTAATTGTGAATTTACTCGATAATTAATTTCCAACCTGAGCTTAAAGTTTATATCATCTGAAGTGTTTAGATAACAACAAACTATTAGTAGTTCATATTATTGTTCAAGAATAGAAACTGAATTTCATCATGAATCTAAATTCTAAGTCGTTTATTTGTTAGAATTCAACTCTCGTTCTCTTTTCATGGTCAGTAGTCTTGTTAATGATAAAGAGTAACTAATAATCGAAGCAATTTTTTTTTCGGTCATTGCATTAAACTTAATTAATGCGAAAACTTAATCATCCAAAAATTGGATCGAAAAACGGATTCGAACCTCTTCAAGTGTACAAACTTTAATGATGAAAAATTCTGGCGCAAATTTGGCAACAGTTTAAGTTCATTCTAGTGTAACCTCATCTTATTATCATTTCTTAATAGTTTAACATCTTAGTTCTGTGGGTAAATATTCATAGTAACAATCTAGACTTTATATTATCTAATAAAATTTATCATTCCCTGTGGAAATCTTTATTTTTTCCGATCTTATTTACTTAAACTGACCAGTGTCCAATCAATTTTATATTCGAGTTGAGGTAAAGTAGTCAATTCAGCAATAGGTTTCGTATTTACTCAAGACGATTCATTAGTATTACACAAATTTAGATGAATATGATTAGTTTATCGAAAAGTTCTGATGGACATTTATTCATAAATTTATCATTCAATTATTCAGTTGATTGATAACAAAAGTTACAATTGCTGTTTAGAATAGTGAAAAGTTCAATTGAGATGCAATTCTATTAATAGTTATTGGTAATTATATAATTAGAATTAGATTTTATTACATGTTTAATGTTTAATAACATGAAATTTTCCTCTTATTGTCTTTTATTATCTTCATAAAATTCATAACCATGAAGCTCAAAGTTGTTGTATCATCTAGATAATTGAATATGATGTAAATGAACAAATGAAATCAGATTGAGATACGATAAAGTCTAAAGATTATACATTTGATTGGATTATAAGTATTTCCCTCAATTATGATAATCGTATTCATAATTCTGTTGATACAAAGTAAACAATAAGTCAGGTATTAATTCATCAGGTTAATCAGCTTTTCAATGGTTGAAATAATTTGAAAGAGATAACATGAAATTATGATCAACAATGTTATCATTATATTGTTGATGACGATGGATATTGATGAATATTTCAGTTGAATAAACCGGAAAAACATTGTCAATGTGACAGTTTTTGATCAAATTGATTTGATTAGAAAGTGAAAACTTGATAGTATCGATCGTTTCTATTATCGTCTGACGTTCCGAGAGCATAATGACATTTAATCTATGATAATTGCATGCTAGGAATTTCTTTTAGTGAAACTTTCTTAATAATAAAATTAATAGTTGAATACATCAATTTTCATATAATGAAAGGTCATTCGAGGCTTGAATGTCTCCGATACTTTCACCATGAGGTCAATTTTTCATCTCTATTTTGTTTCTGTAACCAACCAACTCTAGGAAACGAAAGGAACGATTGTTCAACTATTCGAGGTGCCATGGAAAATGTAAGACATCTAAAACGTTCCCACAGGTACCTATCGATTTGTCATGGAAGTACTTGGTTAATGCCCATTTTGAACGAGTTGGAGATATTGGTAGCTTAAATGTAACTTCCGGAAACGCAGAAAAGTCTTGAAAGTCACTTTTGACAAGAACCAAATTGTAAGATTACATATACATTACATGTACTCTCACCTTGTATCTCGATAAGTAATAATTAGACAAACTGAAGAACCAAAAAACTACAGGACTGACTGATACCTTTAATGTATAATACTCAGCGAGTTGGTTCATGGAAAACTGTTCATAGAACTTGAGATTACCTGAACCTTAATTGCCACCCTTAAGGTGTTCACTTAATCCTAAGAACTTTGAATTACTATGAAGCAATAATAAGAATCGTCTATAAGGAAATTTTTTCACATGTTTTAATACATTAAACATGAATGTTCATTTTATCCGAGAAGTAAAAAAACTGTTGAATTACATTGGATTACATTTCCTCATTTAGGTTAACATTAAGTATCCTCGTATTATTCATATCAAATCATAAATTGTTATGGTGAAAATGTTTCATTCAAAAGTATTAATAGATATCATGATAACGATTATAATCTTAATCGTTAATCTTTCAAAAAAAAAACTATTTGATTGATTAAATCAGCGATTGATTGGAAATATTGTCTACTGTAAGTCCAAATCAATATCCAACTCGATCCATGTTGAGTAATTGCTAATTCTTTGTTTATTATTATGATATTAATTTGTAGTGATAATAGTAATAGTATCAAGAGATCGTAATTAAATGTCTCAATGAAAATGTGAGTATGTTTTTGAAGTTATCATGTTATTCAACCCGTCAACTTATTCAGGTCACAATGAAATGTTATCAAAACTTTCAATTTGAATTAGAAATTGTGTTCAAAACTGATAGGGAAACGATGGACAGTAAATGTTTAACCAAATTGATTAATTAATTGACATGCAACCAAACTTGCAAACAAATAAATCACTTGGATAACTTAATCTCTAGGATAATTTGGTTCTATTATAATAACTAAAATCTTATCGACTATTATCCCAAACAAAAAGGTTTTAGGTAAACAAAAGTTCACCCACAGAATCCGAGTTGGAATTGTTTCATAAATAATATGAATTAATTGTAATTCTGGCATAAATTCTGTATGTACTGATTGATACATAAAAAACATGACGATTCTTGAAATTGAACTATTATACAAATCAATAAACATAATCTTGAATTCTGATGAGAGTAAATATTAAATCAAGTTAATAATATACTTTGAGTAATAAAATTTACTCTTCCAATGATTAATTGGTCTTAATTGAAAATTGATTATACTTAGCATCCCATTGTTAATGGTTTTAACATGATACTGAATATAATTGTTGATAAGATATTAATTACTTTGAAACTTTGATAACATCTTACTTAGATTAATAATGAAAGCAGCTAATACTTATTATTATTAGATGATGATTGTTATTGTTATCATTATCAATTGTATCAATGACAAAGGTCATCAGCTTATCATATTAATGATAATCAGGATGATTCAATAATAACATTGATCAAGATGATGAGGATGCTGAAGAAGATGATAGTGAATATAATATTTATTAGAGGAAATGAAAGTTGACTCGAATTATTTTTGGCTTCGCAAGGAAGAAAAAAAAAATATAAGAGAAAACAATGATAAATTGAAGGTATTTAGCTCTCATTCATTGCAAACATTGTCAATCATTATCATGAATATCATGATCATCGGGATGATAATCATCTTTATCTGATGATGTTGCTTGAGATGATTGATTTGATTATCTAGAGGAGGATAAATCCTCGAAAAAAAAAGGATAAATAAAAAGCTGAATAAAGAAAGATAAAAATACTGAATAGATTGTGAGAATGATGATAATGATGATGATGAGGATAAAGAAAAGATGAGGAAGGAAGGAAGGAGAAAAAAATTCCTATGCTCTTGAAATTGATGATAATCATTCTGAAAGACATTAGAGTTTATCAAGAACAATTAACTTTTTATCAAATAAAATATTCTCTTAAAACTAATCAACTAATATAAACATTAGAATATCTGATAACTTTTGGAGAAAATTGTTTCTTCTTTGATAACAAACTTTTCCATGGTAATTATCTATCATGTATTAATCTAAATTGTAAACAATTAGCGATTCTATTTCATATCTTTCTTGGCAATAGACTAAGACAAGAAAACAATTAGACCTTTAATTACAATTATAGAGACTTGAAATATTGATTGGACTTCAATAGCTTTTTGATAAATTGGATTTTGAGTTAATCATGAAATCTTGATCATGATTAAAGGCTTGTAACTATGATTATTATAATAATTTTGATGGCGATTCATTGATACGATTAATGATAATCCATGTAAACGATAAATCAACAAGTGGTCATTTCTGACTGAACGAAACTCACCTCGCCACAATGAACTTTCCCGAGCTCCTGGAACCCAATAAGCCCACATTTGAACGATATTGAACGGCGATGAACAGCAAATATAGCACATGATTATTGTTACCGTTAATTTGATTGTTTTAATTTTGGCTTTTGAAAAGTAGGCTGTTGAATGGCTTCGAGGTGTACAACGATCTGTATTGATACTAGAGGTTCGTCGAGTTGATGTTGATGATGATAATGTTGAGGTTGGAGGTGCTAATGATGTAGTTGATGGATTTACAACTGTTGGGCTCGTTGTTGTAAGTATTTTCATTGAATTTGGTAACATTGATGAAGATGAAGATGATAATGATGAAGGAGTAACATGATTGATTGAGTTCCCATTTAATTCATTTTTACCTTGTAACTTTTGTGACACTTGAGTGTTGGTTACCTCATGGGTAAGATTAATGTTACTATTATTGAAATTTATCTGAGAATCGTGATTAAGATCAATAATTTTGGGATGGTCAATATTATTTTGACGTTTTAATGTTTTAATTCTAGTAAATGGATGACCCAGTTTACTGAGGAAATGTTTTGATTCTGATTCTGTTGTTCCGATAACTGTTGATGGAGATGATAAGGAACAAGTTACATTATTAATCTTATCACTATTATCACTAATCATCTTATTATTATTGAATCGATTATTGGTAATTACTCGAAATGAATCAACCGTAATTGATTCATGACTTGGTTCATGGCTTGAAATTGGACTATTCAAATGGAAATCAGTTGATTGAATGGTCGATGTTGTTTTCTGCTGTGTTGGAGATTGATTTAAATTTGAACTTTGCTGATGAACATTATGAGAATTAACTGATTGAATATTTCCGCTTAAACGGGTTAATCCGGCTTTTTTAATTCGTCGGCCATTTTTCCATAATTCAGAGCAAATATTGGAAAAGGTGAATATGATAATAGTAAAGGGAATAAAGAAAGATGAAAACGCATACCAGGTAACATATAATCTTTCACCATAGGGCTGAATAAATGTTCCCCAGCATTCATATACCTGTGGATTATTTGGTATTTGATGATATGAGAAAATAAGTAACTGAGGCAGGCAACAGATTAAGGCTAATCCCCAGGCGATGGAGACTTTAAGATTAGATCTATTGAGTCGAGATCGAGATTCTAATGGATAACAAATTGCTCTGTAACGGTCAATCGCTGTTGCACAAAGTGTAAATGAAGATAAATAAGGTCCCAATAGTTGGAGATATTTAATTCCTTTGCATAATATATGACCACCATAAAAGTGTTCAGTTATCTCCCAGATGAGTTGAGGTAAGACATTAGTAAATGCTGTGATTAGATCGGCTATCGATAAGTGTAGTAGGAAAAAGTACATTCGACGAAGTTTAATTCGGCTTAAAATTAGTGCCAAAAGAACTGATGTATTTCCGAAAACAATCATTACAAAAATTGCAGATAAAGTGATAATCTCAATGATTGCAAGGTTCTCATCACGAGAATAGCTGGATGATGAGGATGAAGATGAAGAGGATGAGGATGAGTGTGTAACTAAAGCGACAACTGATGAGGATGAAGATGTCAAGTTATTGCTATTGTTGTTCGTGGTGGAGGTTGTGTTGATATTACTATGATTATTATCAATTGTAGTTGCAATCAAAAGTGAGGATAAAGTTGGCAAAGTTGATTCATTAAATGAATTAGCTGATGAAGTTGACAAAATCTCTGTTGATATTGTTGATAATAATGAGATCATTTTAACAGGTTTCCAATTTAACAAGTGAAATATTATGATAATTATGTAATTAGTTGGTTCTAATCTTGGAAAGTTAATCACAACATCAAAAGAATTAATTAATTTTCAAAGGAAATTAACAGTAATCAGTAGGGTTCAATGTCGAAAACTTTTGATAATAATAATATCTCTTTGGAAGATAATATAAAACCCAAATTTCGATAAATTTCAAGTTAAACTGAGAAAAAGTTTCACAGTAATTATACTAAATTCATGAGATGATCTTTAATTAGAGGCACTTTGATTTGTCATTTTATTTCAATTAGTTTAATGAGAAACTGATTTTTCACTTTTACCTGAAAAAAAAACAATTAAAAGAAATCAAGTCTTCAGGTCACTTTTATATCTCGAGGTGATGAAAGGTAATAACTGTAATTATCGGTTAATTATTAAGCAACTCTTGGAAACTATTCTGCCGATAATTAATATTATCAGTAAGTGTTAATTGTTAGAATGATTTTTCCATTGTTAATTTTAAACTTTGATGTAAATAATAAAAGAGATAAAGTGATGTTGGTGTCGTTTAGAAACAAAATAACTCACTGAATGGATAAAGTTCTGTGAGAGAAGTGATGAGAAGCTCACTTATCTTCACCAATCTCATCCTCATCTTTTCCTCATCCCTTTGTATTGATTTGTTCTTACATTTTCTCTCTCTTTCTCTTTTTCCTCTGTCTTTCGTTTATCATCATCGTTTTTCTTACGCAGGCTCCTAACGAAAAAATATATTAACACAAAACCAAAGAACAACAACAACGATTCTCAAAAAGATACATACTAATAGAGAATAAGGTTCAATTCGAGTTACAATTATTCTGTACTTTTGTTCATCATTCGAGGAACAATCGATGATCGATCCCTCTAAAAGAAGTGGGCGTTCGAAGAGGCAAGAAAATAACATGATAGAAAAACATGGAATAGGTGAATAACTCGTAATTCTTTTCATCATTTAACTCATTTATTACCTTTGAATTATCGCATTTTGTTAATCAAAACTTACGACAGAAAACACTTTACACATCCTATGTAGAAACAGTTCTAATCCTGTTTTTCTTGTTCTCTCTCTCTCTCTCTCTCTTGTTTTAATCAAACCGATCGAATTGAATTGCTGGCAATCTAAATAGTTCAATAAGAATATTGAATTATATCGGAAAAGGCAGGGAATATTTACTTTTTTTCTATGATTCTCATGGAGAAAAAAAAGTTCATAAACTTGATCAATGTTTCTCTTGATTATCATTTGACTTTTTATTGGAATTAACAAAAGTCTTTGTATTAATATTCGTGATTAGATTGACAGTTTATTTTAGTACATTCTTGGCAAAGAGTAGTAAAAACTGATCCAAATGTTTATTAATCTAAATTAGTAACAGTAATTTAAGATTTACTCATAATCAACTGATTTCTACGTGATAATTGACCCTCGGGCAAGAAAAAAAAATAACCAGGGAAATGAATAAATCTGCCCTTGAAATAATAATCTGAATGGTTAATTCATCAACAACAAAAAGAGTAAGTTAATTATTGAAAAAGAAAAAAGTTTTCAAGTTGGTTTAATAGAAAGTAAAAACTTTTCTAATAAAAAATTTAACTGATTGTTGTAAATTAATTACGATTGCATAACTACACATATTTATCTCCCTAGACTCATTAATCTATCACAATAATGTTATTATTTTAGAGAAAGTTTTAGTTTCTGGTTTGAAGAAAATAAAATTACAGCATTCAAGGTTATCTTCGTATTCATGGACATTCGGGTTGAGGCCAACTAATTCAATTCCAACTCACTCTTTCTCCTTTTCTTTTCTTCTATTTTATCATCTTCTTATCATCTCTCTCTCTCTCACACACACTCTCTCACTCTCTGAATTTTCATCTCTCTGAATCAATGAAACAATTTGGGAAAAAAGTTCACCTTGCTTACGATATAATCTTATTTGTCTTTATATTTATAACCACGTTCATCGTATAAACGAATTAAAAATTAAACAACAATCTTTATTCAGGTCAAGTTCTAACACTATTAATTTAGTTTCGCATTCGCAACAATTATTATCATTAACGATTTTACAGTTTTCACTAATTTTCATTTTCTGTTCCTCGTTTACAATACTACAATCAACAAGATCACAAATTCGAAGCTTATTATCATTATTATTATTAATATGTTTGTATTCAAATGTGAAAAGGTTTGCTTATTAATTATTATTTAAATTTACGCCAGTTTAGTGTAACTGTGATTAACTTTTAATTCGGATCAATTATTGAGGATTAACGGTAAATGTGAATTGTTATATGTTTTACAAATGTGCTTGAATCTTCAATGTAATTCATCAATGATTAGCTACTTTAATTCAACGACAATTACCTTTGAATTTGTGGTTAAATATCTGGTCGAATTACTTTCCTGGATTAATTTAAGTGACACCGAATTAGAGGAAATAGTTAAACATGCAATTAGCAAAAACGATTTAGATCAACTTGTATCAACATTATGGGTAAGTTAATCAATGATTTTCTTTAGTAAATTAAATCAATCAAGAGACAATTAGTTAATGATATTGTTATTACATGGAGATAGACTCAATGAGACTACAATACTTTTCTCACATAATCAATGTATTTAAAATTCAAGGCTGACAATTGACTGATTAATTGTCCATTCAAATTGTAATTACATTGTAATTTAATTGTTCACTGAATCGATGAAGTGAAGTAAACAACATTCACCGAAATCAATTGTTTATATGAAAACGTTTCAAGATTGAGACAATTGGTAACAATTTATTGCGACAATGAGAAAACAATTAAGATTGAGAACTCACAATTTAAGATTCAATAGACTCAGAAAATGAGATTGATTTAAATGAGTTTTCTTTATGATTATCTAATTACTAGAAAGTTGGACCCAAAAGAAGATCTCAGATAACTTCACTAATCCTTCAAGCATGTGGATCACTTAATCGAACCGAAATGATTAATTATCTTCTTGATCAACAATTAATTAATCCTCATATATGGAAAGATCGATATGAATGGTCACCATTACATAAGGCTGTTTATAAACGCGATCTCCAATTAGTTAAACTGCTAATCTCTCGAGGTGAGTTAATCTAATCTTCTTACTCTTTCTATCTCGCTGTTAATCCGGTAATCAGAAATTCAAATGATTACATGAAACTTGATGGATTCGTTAATCTATTTGGTAAAGAAAACCTTCAAATATTGTTAAGGTAAACGGGAAATAAAAAAGCTCAACTTTTTGTCTTAATTTAACCTTAATTAAAACCTAATTATCATCACCATTAAATCATGATCACTTTCAATCAAAATTTACATCTAAATACACACTATTATCATACTGAAGGTCGAAACAATTTAACTCAAGTAGTATGATTAACTACTTACCATTAAGATTACAATTGATTTCAACTATCAATTTAATATCATAAACAATGATTAGTGTGATTAAAGTGATTAAGAATCCAAACTAATCGATTTTTTCAGTTTCTTGAACTTGATTAACGACCACCATTTAAGTGTCAGCATCTTTTAATTAGAATTTGTTTAATTAGTCTGAGAAAAAAATTCTTTCTGTTTATCTTATCCAAAGGTGTTGATATTTATTGTCGAGAGATTAACGGTAATACACCTCTTCATATCGCCATTCAAAGTGTCCGTAATCCTCCGAGTGGACTTAATGATGACCATTCAAAGAACCAATTAATTGAGATAATTACCCTTTTATTGGAAACTGATAACAATTTAAAGCAACAATCAACTGGTCCAGATGAGCGTTTGGTTAATTTGAACAACAATTTCGGTAAATCAGCTTTACATTATTGTGTTGATTTGGATCCATCGCCGTTAACAATTCAATTGATCTACATGCTAATCAATGGCGGAGCAAATGTTGACCTTATCGATTCCAAAGGACGAACTCCTTTTTTTCACCTTGCTACTGAACATAAACGATCACTGGTTCGATCTGATAATTTACCGTTATCTCCATTCATCGCTATACTTACAGATTCTCATTGTGATCAACTTAATTATAACCAAATTAACGGTAAAATGTCCTCATTGAAAAATCTTTGTCGTCAATTGATTCAAAATCATTTCCAATCAAATAATTTCAATTGTTTAAAAGGTTTACTACCAAATGAATTAATCAATTATCTTAATCGATTACTGGTTAAATAATAATTCTTGATGAAGAAAAAAAAACAATCACAATAAAGACAATCAATCAAATCCACCGAATCAATTTCTATTGTTAATTGTTATTAATATTATCAAGCTAAAGAAAAATAAACAATTTAATTCATGATAAGATTTAACCATAAATAATTAAGATTTAATGAGAATTGTAAAATCAGTTAATCAATCATTGTTTCTAGCTCATAGTTAATTGTTAGTTAATTGTCTGAAAGACTTGGGTGAAATTAAAACTAACTAGACTCAATCAGGGTTAATTTAATTTTCGTGAATAATTATGATTAACTTTGAACAATTTGAAATAATAGTCGTTTAATTGAATGAATTTTCAAATCAATTATACGATTTTAACTATTAATTAAGTCTTCATCAGTAATTTCAGATTTGACCATTTCCTTAATTGTTATAAAGGTAAATTGATTGCTAATGATTGTGCGATCAGCCTTGAACCCAAGTTCATGAAACCAAATTATTATTAAATTTAAATTTCATTTAAATTAAACAAATATTTACAAATTAATAATATTGATCATATTGATTAACTGGATCAGTTTAGCCAATTGATTATGGTGTAAGGGAATCGTAATCAAATGAATACTTTCAATTGAATGATAATAATTTTAAGAAAAACAGTTTTTAATTTGCCCGAAGGTAAATCGAGAAAAATGAGAGAAAATTAAAATCCTTAATTCAGCCAATTTATAGATGAAGATAATTAACTGAAAAATTTGAAAGTTGATCAACACCATTTGATTGTTGATTTATATTAATAATAGATTGTTGTGGTTTTACCAAGGTTTAATGTCCAACCAATTAATTACCTTGACCCATCTTCTTATTATAACAATCAATTAAAAATGATGCAATTAAATGAAAATTAACCTTGTTGTGTAATCACCTTTTTCCTGATTACAATTTCATTCACTATCAATTTACAAACTAATCTCATGATTTCCGGTCAAGGTACTTGATCATCCGTAATGATCAAATCGATCGAGTTTTTTTCCTCAGCTTCTTGTTAACTAGAATCATTATCGGAAACCATTTAATTTAATGATAGTGAAAATCTCGTAAAGTTAGTCATCGTTAATCGTATAAATGCCACAACATGTTTGCTTTAAGTCTTATTCAATTAGATGTTTGTTGCACTCAATAAGTAAAATTGATACAACAAGTCATGTAACGTCATCTGTTGATGAGTTTTATCATATACCATGGAAAACCTTCATTTGAAATAAAGTTAAACAAATGGGCAAGATGTGGTTAACCTGAATATGAATTGAAAATGACATATTAAAATGCTTTTTCTGTGACACCGTTTTTAAGATTGAAAAAGCTTAATTAAGCATTCATTAAAGCTTGAACATATCGGTTAGTCAATGTTTTCAATTAGAATGAAAAACTAAGCACTAACGTAACGAATAATTAAGATAGAAAATAAGTGTAAGAGAATGTTAGAAGTTGTAAGAGAAAACGAGAAGCTAAGAGAAAAAAATTGAATAGAATTTTAGTTATTATTATTATTTTGATTAGGATTTTTGACTCACTTTGGTATTAACCATGTGTTAAAATACTCTCATTCTCTACAAGTACTCGATTTTCAGTTTCACTGAAGCTGAAAACTGATCTGGAACATGCAGTAGATGCAATTTTTACAACCACGTAACTGTTAACAAATACGTGGTTTTTTGGGATAAAAAGGTGTAAATACGTCCTGAAAGCCGAGTGAATGTTCTACCGATTTTTATAATAATAAATTGTATCAAAAAAGTGGTAGAAAAGCACGTTTGATTAAGTAAATCAAGTTAATGGTCTTATTGTTGAAGAAAATATTGACCAAATTGTAACTGATTTAACCAATTTAAGTATTTATATTCCTGATTTGCCAACTCATGCTGAATTTCTACAACAATTAAGTATATATGGTTATCTATTTTCTACCTTTGAGGGATTAAATTAAGTTTTTCGAAAAAATTTGATCAATTTTCATTAATTTCAATGTTCCCTCTTTACAAATTCATTGCAAAAAAGTGGACAATTTTAGGTACTTGACTGTAATTGGTATTGATAAAAAATGGAATAGATTAGTAGATTATTTTGAACAATTAACTCACATATACAGGGCGTAACAAAGTAGTGAAGAATACGGATGATGCATCCGGAAGCTGATTTATCTCCCTGAAGTGGGAGAAACTGATCAAAGTAGGTGGAAGAGAAACTTCCGGTGGGAACTTCGGCCAGTGGGTGGAAGTATATTCCGGGTGCATCATCCACTTCCAGTGGGAACAATTTTTACCCGATTTGGGTGAAGTTTTTTGCTTATTTGCACCCTTTTAAGGTGAAATTTTTTTCTCTTTCTTTTTGTATCTTTTTGTTTGTATCTTTTTTTTCTTTTGCTTAACCGTAATGACTAATTTTTTTAAACGTTTGCGAGCAAATTGCTTATTATTATTGACTTGATTGACGACTCGTTAGATGTCACTACTGTAATTCAGTTGAAATTAATCCAAATATAAACTTTCCTAAATCAACATCAAATTAGATTAATTTAATAAATCAATGATGAAAGACTTCTCAAAACAGCTTTTAATCCGTTCGACTTTAACTAAAGTGTTATTAATTATTCAATAAGTAAAAATTATACTCAACTTAACGGTATGAAGTAAGCCGTAAATGGTTGCCAGCATCAATGTAACCAATCCATTCACACTGACATAACATTGATAGTCACAATTATATAACTGGTCATCATTTGATGAAAGATGGCTAATCAAATGGTAACAATGTATTGAATGAATATGCAAATAAGTTACGATAACTTGGAATAACAATAGTAAGTGTAATACATAAAAAAAGTAATATTTTGTTTGAGATAAAATAAATACACTAAACAATTTACATGATCACCCAAATGAACAATAAAATTTGTATGATTACCATTGGTTTTCAGTATTATCAACATGATGATATGCTGTTGACTTGCTTTTTTTGCTTGATGATATATTTTGATAATAATATAATATAAAATAGTCAAAGGGGTGGTTCAATTAGTCTCACGGGTATAAACACAGGAGTATGTGTATGGGAGTTGAGACGTATTTATATCGGTTCTGATAGAGAGCAAAAAAGGGCTTACGAACTCAATTTCTGGGCTTATTTCATTCATTCCCATGGTAATTTGTATCAATCTATGTGATATTATTATAATATGAAAATCTAAAAACGCCTAAACACAATTATCGATCGAAATGTAAACTGTATGAAAACCCAAAGTATTATTATTATATTAGCATTTTCATTGACCAATTCAATGTTTATCTTATTGTTATTATACAATTAGATGGACAAGTTGACAATCCTGATAAATTTCATGAGAGTTAATGAATTGTTTTTAAATTTTGAAACTATTCAATTTCAAATGGGAATAATATTGATTAGTGAGGCAAATTTATTCGAGTGAGTATTTATTTTTTTACCTTGACTTTTGTGTAAAAATGTTAATATAATGAATGGGGAAAATGAGTGTTAACTGTTCAGGGAAAATGGTAATGGTGATGACGATGATGATAATAAATGAAATGGTGTCTCTCTCGTTCAACAAATGGATAAGTTTCTTTATCTGCACCATGAGGTTCAGTTTATTCATAAATTGTGATATTAATTTGGTGTCTTATGTTTATCTGTTTGCAAGATGTATAAATATTATGAGAAATATTGTCAACAGTAACTTTGGATTCTCTCATTAACATTATGATCACCAGAGGATTATATTATTGCCATAATGTTGTGTGTATGTGGATATTGATGTGGATGGGGAGGTAGATATATGTATAAGAATGATGAGTGGAATAAAAAAAATAAGGATGAAAATGATGATGAGAATAAGTATCGAAAGAGAAAGAGACAGAGGTATTTATTAGAAGGATAATTTCAGAGAAAAGTTTCCCAAGAGAGTTTGATAGGAAAAGGATGAGAAGAATGAAAAGAGAAGATGAGAAGATATTTTGTTGGATGATGATGAGAATGATGAAGAAGAAGAAGAAAAAAGTACCACTCGGGAAAAGGAAGCAAAAGACTAGGCTTTAGTTGTCGTGGCAAAATGTCCCATGGGGTTGATTGGAATAAATGAAGAAGATGATGATGATGATGATGTGGAAGATGAGGATAAGAATGAAAATGAAAATGAGAAAGAAAATCAAAAAGGGGAGAAAGAAACGATAGATACCCTTTGAGAAGAAGAAGAGAGATGAGAGAAAAGAGAAAACGAAAATAAAGAGAAAGAATGAAAATAAGATGAAGATGAAAGACTGACCCCCTTTATCTCCTTGAGGGAGAAAGAAAAGTAGGAATGGAAGATGAACGAAGTTGAAATGGGTGGAAATTCAGAGAATTCGGAGAGAAAGTCAAAGTTTATCTCAATCCATTGGGAGTTAATTCTGCAGGAAAGAAACTTCATTTTACCTTTTTTATCTTCTTCATCATCTTGATTCTTCTTCTTTTTTTATATATCTAAACTCTTATGTAAACTGTATAAGAGGTGAAATAAAGTTGGTGTAGAAAAGGGAAAAAAAGAAATAAAAGAAGAGTAATAAGGAAGGAAGATTCATGTTCATGAGAATTCTGAATTGAAGTTGATTCTGTTGAGTAAAGAAAAGCTGGAAAAGTTTATTCTCTTCTATCAGAGAAACTCTGTATTCCCCATGAGGATAGACTAGAAAGTAACCTCAAGGGAACCATAGCTTCAAATGATTTCCCCTTCGTTATCCCTTCGATTCTTGTACATTATATTTATATTGATGAGACAGCGCAAACGAGACTAGGATCGAATGAGAGAGTCGAATAATTTGAAAAAAGAGGAAAGAAAAAGAAGAGAGAGAGAGAGAGAGAGAGAGAGAGAGAGAAAGAGCAAAGTAAAAGGTAGAAAAGGTAGAAAACTCTGTTTATCTAACGCACACAGAGAGAAATAGGTGATATTACAGTCTCCCGATTTTTATATGATAATAATACATAAGCTGTAGATATAATAGACACTCTGTAGCATCCAGTTAGTTCATGTCTATCCTGGGGCTTTACTCCCTTCATCAATTCCCGATGGAATCGCTTCTTCATCATCTTCTTACACAGAATATATGAGCTTTCGAAGGAGAAAGTGGATTGAACAAAAGTTACTCATGAGTCTGACTTTTCTCGATTTCGCCACATTCTCAGTTTGATTATGTTATCATCATGAAGCAAAATTTCTCGAACCTTTAACATGACAGAATTTATTTCTCAGTGAAACAAAAAGTTCCAAGTTTTTTTTCCTCGATTTTCGCATTTGAATAGTTATTATTATTTTCCGAATGTGATCAAAGGATAGATTTTGTTGCTGTTTATGTGGATATTTTTATCGTTTGTGATGATATTTTATTAGAAAACGAAAATGTCCAATTTGTTGTTAACCAGTTCTCAAGATGATTCTAATGAACTTTCTTCAATGTCAATGTTGTCTCGAAATCGCCGGAAACAAGCTCAACCTCGACCATTAAAGCGTAAGTACTAATAACATCTCACGTATTTTAGTTATTTATCATAATGTGGAAAAGTTTACTTTCAATCGTAATATTTAACGAACCTATTAAAATTTCGAATTTATTTGAAATATTGTTAATTAACTACCTATCGATGAAAGTTAATTAATCAATTAGTTCGATATTCAAGTTTCGATTGAATACATGTTAATCTATGAGATTTAACTGTCAATGATTCAATTGTTTGAACGATTTCTGAAACTCGATCTCTTGACAGAATTATGAACATAATTTATATTTGTTATTTTCATATCGATCATGTATCGAGTTATTAATCTAATATATGTCGATTTCATCGCAATTGATTCGAGATTTAATTTATGACTGATATAATTATATTTATGTCTATATTAGCTATGAGATTATAAATTTCAGTTGCATTACTGTTTCTGAATTTATCAGTAATTTCAGAATTTCTTATTAAGACAATTAACTAATCGATTTCCTGGATCAAACTAATTTATCTTGACTTTTTTGAAACCTCGAACATTATTATTGAACATTTCGGTTATTCTTCGATTGCTCGTTAAAATAATACTCTTATGTCTAGCATGATTTTGAGAGTAATTAGTTTTCCAAGAACGAAGTGAGATTTTGATTACTGATATTTTCATCTCGAATCTTGTCAGAATTTTTCATGTTTAGATTGATTCCTTTGGTGAATTAACTGAAGTTTTATCTCATTAGCCCCAGAATCTTTTTCATAAAGTAAAAAAAATGATCTTAATGTAAATGAGAGAGAGAGAACGATTTTATCTCTAGTCTATTTTCAGTTTCATGATATTAGAAAAATTAATAAGAAATTAACAAAATAATCAGATAAAAACTCAAAAAAAATGATAATTAATCATGATTTAGAGTGTAGAATATTTTTTCAGGGGAGAATTGAATTTATCATTTTTTCATTGTTGATTTTTCATCTCTCTTTTTTCAAATCTCTGAGTGAATTAAGAAACTTAACTTATGATGATTATCTTAATGAAAAGTAATTAGGAGACAGTTTATCAACTTATTCTCAGATCTTATTTGTATTTCCACCTTAACTGATCCATTGGACGATTATCATGGATAATTAGCTTGATTAGCTCACCGAGTAATTAACTTCTAATTAGAGATCAACAAAAACAATCATCATTAACTAATTACAAAACAATTTTGCTTCATTGTTATTGACTGATAATCAGTGTTGCCAATTTGGTATCTTGATTAAGTAAAACATTCTGATTCTGTTAATCATTTAGCAATGACAAATAATCCACCTATCAAATTCACCCTTTCATATACAATTAGTTGAATTACTTTTCGTATGAATGAAAATATTTTTGTTCTAATTGTAATTGATTAACTTAATCATTCTTGACAATAAAGATTAGTTTGTTTTCACTTATGTAGATGGCACCACCTTTTATGTTCTCGGTAATAAAGTTCAGTTAATTAGATTAGACTGAGTTTCTTAATGAAGCTTGTTAATTATAGTCTTTACGAAATCATAAATTATCATTGGGTAGACTATGAGAAATGAATAGTTTTTCAAAATAATTGATTGAAGTGATTAATTTAATGGTAATTGTCTCTTTTCAGATGATTTATCTCAAGGAAATAATAAAAACGACGAAGTCATTGAAGATGATATTTGCAACTCAGAATTTAACAATCAAAAACTAGATTTGGAATATGAAAGTGAAGGTAAGTTAATTTGATTATTGTCTTCATTCAATAGTAATTTACAATCAGTCTACTTGATTTTGTAGAAATTTTTTTCTGTCAAATAATCTAATTAACTGAATTACAGACTTAAGATTTTTTTCCCCTCACAAATGAGCTTAATGTTTGTTTGTTTTTCGAATGATTAAAATTGTGATGATCTTGATTATCACTGATGATTTTCTGTCTATTCTGTTATTCTGATTCTTTATTCAGTTTACAATGAATTTTTCTTTATTCTTTTTACTCTCATTCATCAGATGAATTATATTCAATGAATATACTCCTGAGATCAGATAACTTGCTCACTCTCTTTCTCTCTCTCTCTCTCTCTCTCTCTCTCTCTTAATTTGCTCTCTCTCTCTCTCTTACATTTTCTTCATCTTAACCATGCACTTTACTTTTTCATCTATTTCCTACTTTTTTCCATGTCTCATCTCGAAGGAATCGAAAACAACTCTCACTTTCATCTCATCTCTTAGTTCTGACTCCCTGAGCTTCTTTATTATCCTCAATCTCTCTCCATCTCCCTTTCTCTCTCCTTCTCTCTCCCTCTCCTTCTCCTTTTCTCTTTTTCTCTTACCTCAGCCAATATTATCTTCTTTATCATTTCTATCTCCATCCTTGCCATCTTCATCTTCATCCTCATCCTCATCTCCATCATCATCATCGTCTTATTTTCCATGTTCATCTTATTTCCAATCCCATGAGAATTTGCATGATGAATTCTGAACCAAAGACTGAAGCTCAATTCTCATTGGAATAACCATTAATGTACATTTCTTGAGTTCGTTACAATTCAAAACAAGTAACGTTCATACTATAAACTAATATACCGAACATAGACTTCGGCATTCTCTTCAATGTCATCATATTCTCCAATTCTTAACATGTTCAAATCAACTTTGAACAGAAAACTTCGAAGCATCGACTCGAAATATTCGAGTTTTCTTATAATTCATACATCTAGATATATTCTTAGCAAACTGTCATTTCACTGACCTTCATATAGTTCATTCTAATTCTAATAAGACATTTTCTTCAATTCTCTCATGAAATGTATTGTTAGAATAAAATTCATTCAGATAATCATCGTTTTGAACAATTCGAGCGTTAAAATTGAAAAAATTAATGTGATTCAAACTTATTTTGAATACAACAACTTTCAAATAAACGATTAGCTACAATCAAAATCAACTAAATCAATTAGATTTCGTTACAATTTAATCAAGAGATATTCATTTCTCAAGACATGTTGATATCCAAATCAAATTACTCCAATTAAATCATTTGACAAGCATTTGAATCAAAATCAAGATTAAACTTTGTCCTGACAGTTAAAATCCCATCTCTCAAACCAAATCAAATCAAATTAAATTTTTAACAATCAACCAAATGATAAAAAAAACTCAATTGATAAGCGATTAATTAAGACTATTGAAAATTGATTAAATTCACTGAAAAGCTTAAATAATAACCAATTACATGATTATCTCTCTATTTTTCCTCAGGAATAAGTTACTCAAGTTCAATGGAAAGTCTGAATTCCGATATTTCTGATTCATCATCAATATCATCATGCTCCGAGAATTATAATCCTTCAATTGATATCACACAATCAACTCCTTTCCAATGTCAATATTGTGATAAATCATTTCCAAGATTATCTCATTTGAAAAGGCACGAACAGGTAAGAATCTTAATCCAATCATGAAAAGGATTTAGATGCAAAAAAATTGTAACAATTGTTTCCCTTTAATTGAAACTAAATCATTGAGCAATTAACAGATTAAGGTAACAATCAGTTGATGTTAACCGTTGACCCGATAAAAGTTATTCAAATGAAGTAAATAACAATGGTCTCAATTGATAATCGGTAACAAACTGATAAATATAATTGTTAACATTCGGGATTATCCTTAATCATAATCAACACACAATATTAAGTCCGTTTAAGAGGCTAATAGAATAAAAAGAAAAAGAAAAGTTCGAAACATTTTCACCTTTTCTCTCTCTCTCTCTTTCTCTTTCATTCTAAGTTTTTCTATTTAGCCTTCGGCGTGCGAAGTGAAAATTTATATTAAGACGATAATTTCATGTAAATTTCATCATCAACAAGATTTAATAACAATAGAAATAAGGAAAAGAAAAGAGAGAGAACTGAGATTAACTAAGATTAAAGGTGATGTTACATTATTATTATTCATGAGGAACAATGTGTATATCGTGACAATCGATGATTGAATGAAAGGATTGAATTCTGTGAATGAATTGTTACAGAGAAAATGGTAGAGAAAAATATTGTATTTAAATTTGAATATTATTTTGAAAACACTTGTAAAAGTGTAGATAACATTTACTATTATGGTAAAAAGCTGCTCCTTTTGCTGGACAACAAGAAAACCATTTTAAGTGTCCACTTTTAGGAAAATGAATTGAGAAAGAAAACTTTTTAAACTCTTGTTTAGAGGTTCTCGAAAGAAACAATTTTTACTCTTTTACCTTTGACCATGCGATTGTCTCCTTGTTCATGTTAAATTGTCTGTCCATAATTCACTTTCATCTGGTTATTATTATTATTGTTACTTTTGGTCACTCAATTGACCCCATGTAAAAGGTTTTCCTTTTGTATCTAATATTAAATGGATCAAGGTCAAACTCTGTATACAAAATATTCAACTTTCTTCCTTCCTCTCTAGTAATGATGCTCATCATAGTGATGGAGATGTTGTTGTTGTTGTTGTTGTTGTTGCTGTTGTCGGTGGTGGTGATGATGGTTGAGGTGGCCGTGGAGGTGATGTTGCTTTTACTATTGATGGTGATGCTGGAGATGAAGATGAAGATGGAGACGGAGATGAAGATGGTTATACCTCCCCCACCTCCTCCTCTTTCTCCTTCTCCTCCCTCCGCCCTTCTTGTTCCCTTAACCTATTCCAAGTCCATTTGAAATCTATTAAATCGCTTTGTGGGCAATCACAAAAGGGCTAAAACTTTTCAATAATATATTTCTAAGCGTTTACGCTTATTTCATTCTCATTTAGCCTCTTCTAATACAATTTTGCTCTTTTTTCATCCTCATTCTCATCACCATCATCTCCATAACCACGATCATCATCATCATCATCATAATCAACATCTTCTTCTTCTTCTTCTTCTTCTTCTTCTTCTTCTTCTTCTTCTTCTTCTTCTTCTTCTTCTTCTTCTTGTTTCCCTTGTCATCTATTACTTTCAATTTCATTGTTGTTTAATCCTTTCTCTTCCTCTAGTATCTGTCACAAGAAGAGTAGCCGGAAATCGCCCAGTTCCAGATGACATATATTGTTATTTCTTCCTATTCTATTTCCGATTTTTAAACCTTAAATTTAGTCACAAAATTGACCCAATTATTTATTTATTTCGTTATAATAGTAAATCACAATGTACTTTACCATTTGATTGTTAACTGATAAATATTATCATAACTTCATTAGAGTTGTAATAGACGATCAAGGTAAATTTTAAAGATTCACCACAATGATAATGATAGATAATTAACTGAAACGAAATAGATAAATAACAATCAACTAATTAAAAGGTAAATGAGTTATCTTTTTACCTTAGAGTTTATTTACTTTTCCTCATTAAGGTGACAATGGATAATTGAAATGTTATTTTCTTTTTCAAAACTTTTCTCTCTTCCTTTTTTTTTCTCTTTCTCTATCAAACTTTGTTCTAAACACAAGCCGATCTTTATCTCGAAACTTTTTCCTACCTGGAAAAGTTTCGTCCAGAATAAATAGAATCACGAATAGAAAAAGAAATCATCTTAATCATCATTATCGCGACAGCCTGATATTACTTGTTAGGCTTGGTTAACTTGGACATTAGTTAAAACGAAACCAATTAAGGGTAAAACTTTTCGTCTTCCTTAGGTGACCGGAGGGTAAAAAAAAGGCCCACTGTGTATTTACCTGGATGCTTGTGTATGTGACAAGAAGAGTGATCCTCCTTTTGTATGATTCAAAAGAAAAGGACAGAAAAGGGTTTGGTCAAGGATAAAGTCTTGACCACCTAAGGTCAGTCTCTAAATTAGGTGAACAAAGGTAAGTTCATTAGAAACAAGAAGTTAAAACTTTACAATATATATTTAAAAGTTTACCAATAGATTGTAAATAATGATTAACAATTTTTGAAAGATAATCAATCCTTTATAATGATTATCACTCAATCATATCAAACATTCAATCAATAGTATTGTTATCAAAATGTTATCGATTATTTCAAATGAATAATTAATAGTTAACATTGACCATTGGAAATGATAATAATGATATCAATTCATTCATCTCATGTCTACAATGTTATTTACACTTTCTTTCACTTTTCTGGTCAATTCTAATGGTCTCAATTTCTAGTGGTCAGTTTTATTTTACATTAGAGACCTTATAACCTATTAAAGTTACTTTATTATAACAGCAAATAAATCAAATGATAATATTGTTTAAATTGTGATTTCTAGTTGACAGTTTGTTTGATTGAAAAATAGATTCACTTATTATTATTTGAAACAAATTCATTATTTAGAAATGGAAATGAAATGAAAATAATAATAATAATACAAACTTTCAATATCTGTCAATGTGTTGGTCAATTGAATTAGATTGTAAATATTATTGACCACGAGACTTTGATACAATGTTGATTAGATTATCAATTGTGAACCTTTTCCCATTCTGACCAATTTAATTGTCATCAAATGACAATCAAATCAAAGGGAATAGACAAAAAGTAAATCATCTCAATAAGTTTCTATTACCAGTTACTATTAACATTTGATTTTGTCGAGATTTTTTTTTTGTTTTCATTTATTAAAAATTAGCTCTCTGATCAGTTAATCTAATAAATAATCAAATCTCATGATTAAAATTAATAATATCAGTTGATTAAGAGATCAGGGTAAACATAATAATTCATTGCTAATCTTAAGGAAATTTTTTTTTCTTCTAATTGAATTGAATGAATTATGATAATGATCATAAAGGAGATTGGGTGGAGATGAAGTTTTCTAATGAAGATGCTAAAAGATGATGAAGATAATGTCTCTATTAGCGAATCCACTCACCTGCTTGCCTTAGGGCAAAAGAAGAAAATTTCATCTTCTTCTTGTTGTTGTTCGCCTTTCCCACCCTCAATCTCTTTCTTCTTCTGGCCACCCAGGGCCATCTTCTCCTCCTTCTTTTCTTCATCATCTTCTTCTTTATCATCTTCTCTATCATCCTCATCTTCTTTACGGTAGAAAGAGGAGGAGCATTTGGTTGAGTGTCTATTGCAATCGGACAATCAGTTTCACTCGCGAAAACTTTTCACCTTTTTTTTTCAAACATTCTCAATATACAAGAGAAAAGAATAGAAAAAAAAAGTTTTTTTTTCCTCAATTTTCACCTGAAAAAGTTTCATTTTTTGCTCTTTTCCTTTCAATTGTATCAACAAATCAACTTATCTCCTAATTTCTGATTCTCTTGTTACTATTAATTCACCAATCATGGTACAGAATCACTCGGATAAAATACCTTTTGTGTGTAATTTTTGTCAAAAGGCATTTAAACATAAACGAAGTCGTGATCGTCATATTAGGATCCATACAGGTAAGTTTGAAACATTTTTCTCTTTCAACTCAATCAATTCAACTTCATTCATGTTTCTTTTTGCAAAATATATTCAATTTGATTCATTTTTCTTTTCTCATTTTCTTCACCTTAACTTATTCATGATTAGGTGACCGTCGGTATAAATGTAATCATTGTGATTCCGCTTTCTCACGAAGTGATCATTTAGGAATTCATATGAGAACTCATGATGATAAGAAACCTCATCGTTGTTCACAATGTAATCGAGGATTCTCAACATCAGCAGCATTAACATCACACATCCAGAAGCACAAGAAACTCACCAAATTATCACCTATTGATTCAATTTCCAATTCCAATAATAATGAGAGTAAAATAAACTACGAAACAAACATTATAAACAAAGATGATAACCAATGTGAAGATGAAAATACAAATGTAAACAATACACAAATGGATTCACCTAAAGTTTCAATGGATGAAAAATTAGAGGATAAAATAAACAATCATAACAATCATCAAGTTACCTGTGGCCTTTGTGGTAATAAATGTTCATCACTTGAAGTTCATATTCGTGAATCTCATTTACACCAATTACTATTTGCTGGTTTACTACAGAATTCAATCTACTCAGCATCGGCTTTTGCTAATTGGCAGCAATTAACATCGATGCCACCACCAGTAATACCCAGTGGTATGAATAATACTCCATCACAATCACCTAATCCAATTGTAAATGAATCAATTAAACAATCGCCAAGTAATGATAATGTGATTTCTATGAAAAATGGTCAATGTAACTCATCAAATTTGAATCAATCTTCAAAGAAATCAAAGATTCTATCATCCTCTTCATCTGTACCATCAACGAATGGACTTAATTGTGATCAAGTAAATGAAGAGAAAACTTTATCTTCCTACTTTTCATTATCTTCATTGGATGAATCCAAAGTTCCATTTCTGTGTAATCAATGTTCACCTTCACCTTATTTTCCTGATTTTGAATCATTTCGAGTTCATTTGAAGTCACATTTGAATCCATCATCCGGAACAATAAACACTTTGGTTGGTTTGATTGGTCAAGCTAATCATCAACATCATCACCATCATGGTAATTCACCTATTGAAAGATCATCATCAACATCTTCTTCATCATCTTCATCCACTTTACCTTGTCCTTATTGTGAATCAATAATTACAAGTGAATCACTTGAATCTCATATAATCAATTCACATTTAGGATCAATGGTTTCATCGTTTTCCTGTGAATCTTGTAAAAAGATATTCACCAAATCAGATGATCTAACCAAACACCTAATCGATTATCATTCCCATCACTTGTACCAATGTTCAATTTGTCGTGAAATGTTTGACACTGACGTTTCCTTGCAAGTCCATTTCCAAGTGAAACACTCGAACCAGTGCAAAGTATTCAAATGCTCAATTTGTAATCAACTTTGGTCCAATCAAGAAGATTTCAAAGTCCATCTTAAAGTGTCGCACTTTTCACCAAATACTAATGGTAATCTAGTCTCATCGCCGTATCATTCCCACTCTCACTCTCACTCTCACTCTCACACTCATTCTCACCCTCATTCTCATTCTCATTCTCATAATCACTCACATTCGCACCCTAATCAACATCACCATCTAAACCACAACCACAACCTTAACCATAATCACTATTCAAGTGCCTTTAATAACCTTAATCATCATTTGCCCTCTTCGTTAGTTTCCTCCACCAGTAATCTTGTTAATCCTTTCTCAATGTTTACTCCTAAATGTCAATATTTTAAATGTTCATATTGTCCTGATGAATTTCACATTGAGTATCTTCTTGAGAAACACATTCAAACAGTTCACTCCTCGAACCTCAATAACAATAATAACACGAAAATTAATCACAAGGATAAAAAGTGTATCACAACCAATGAGAATGATAATCATAATGATACAAGTTCGAGATCACCAAGTCCAAAAAGGAATCAATTATCTCCCGTTATCTCTGAACAATTAACGGTAAATTGTAAACCATCGAAAACATTAAAACGGAAATCAAGTGAAATCGATATTGATATTGAGACAAATAATGACGATTCCAATCATAATGATGATCAAACAATTAGCAATAATTTAAATGGAAATCAAGATGATGAAAACATGATTAAAGATGAAAATGAATCAACACAAATCAAGAATAAATTGATTTCATCATCAAAATTATCACCAACAATTAACTCAACCCTAAATAAATTACACTCAACAACAATTGTTGCTAACAAATCAATTAAAAACTCAATTAAGTGTGTAAAAGGTGATTATCTTAATTTCTTACATAATAATTTAATTAATTCCTTATCAATACCAATTAAAAACAACAACAACCTTTGGAATCCTTATATTAATTTAATTTGTAACAATTAAATCAATTGCAACTCAAACAATTAAGCATGATTTATAATGTTTCATTTCATTGATAAATATTTTTTTCTCATTAATTTAATTTAAATTGTAAAATTTAATTTGTTAAATTGTCAACAATAAACTCACCTTATTATTATTATTTTACTTTTGCATGGTTATTTATTTATTTTCATTGATCATTATTATCAAATATCTGAATGAATATTGAGTAATTAAAGTTCAATATATTCATACAAGTTAATCAGCTGATCTGTTGGTCATTTTATCGTTACAGTTACTGGGGGTGGTGGTAAAGGTCCAGCAACGAAATGTAATATTTGTGATGAAATTTGCGGTTCGATAAGTGACCTGGCCAAACATAAGCTTAAATATCATAACGTTTTCGGTAAATCAAACTCATCGACTTTACTATTATCAAGGTGCCTTCAGTGTTTCCAATTGATTAAAAGTGAAAATGAATTTATCACTCACCTGATTGAACATAACAACAATAGTAACAATAAACAATTAACTCCATCAACGGTTAAATCAACCAATTCCTCATCTAAATCATCATCAATGGATGAATTACTACGAACTGGATTAACTAAATTTCCAATCTCTTGTATAATCTGTAAGCAAACTTTGCTTCGTCCATTGGAAATTGGAATCCATGCTAAATATCATTGTTCATCAGCTGAGATGATTAAATCAACCAATTCGATGAAATTAAGTAAATCACAATCAGTAAATCACTGCAACAACGATTTGGTTCAATCACATGAGAATATTAATTCATCGGTTAATTGTAATCAATTTAAAGCGACAATTAAAAGTGATAAAATTGTTTCATCTTCTTCATCACCTTCATCATCATCATTGTCACCATTATTATTATCATCTTCCTCATCATCTGTATCTTCATTGGCAACTTTGATTCCCATTCAAGATCAACCATTATCTTTAACTACAATTAATCAAAATGATCCTTTGGATACAATTAATGATCATCATGGTAATAAACTGAAAGTTAATTTAATTGAAAGTTATCAACAATCAACATTTACCACAAATGAACCTGAGATTAAATCACTCATTGAAATTGAGATTATTAATCAAGAGAAAGTGAAACTTTCAAAGTGTTTATTATGTGGATTTAAAAGTCAATCACAAACCGAATTACAAATTCATTTAATTGAACATGATTATAAAAGTGCAACAATTAATTGTCCTCTTTGTAAAACTAATCATGATAATCCAGTTAATCTTCAAGTTCATATGAATTCACAGCATTCAAATGAAACAATCTTTAATTGCCCTCAATGTGACAACAAATTCTGGTTTCTATCTGAATTAGATAATCATAAATTAGATCAACACAGTTCCAATGATGTTTCCAATCAAACTAATAATAAAAATCATCACAATCAAGAATCAATTGTTGATAACAATCAATCAACACATGAGAAAATTTGAACAAATAATCATCTCGATGAGTTAATTTCCAACAATTAAAACAGGTAAGACTCAAAAATCATCAAAATCATTGATCAGTTGCTGGTAAACAATCAATCAAATATTGAAAAATCAGCTGAGAGAAATCAAAATTTCTCTAAATCATCCACTAGATGGCAGTCTTACTTTTCCAATTAAATTGTTGTTCATTTTGTTGAGTCAATTCAAATTAGTATCATAACAATTTATTGATTGTGTTGTTGTTTTTTTCTCTCTACAATTTATTATCATTTCTTTGACAGGTTAATATTAAATCTAAATTATTTATTTATTAACTTCCTGAGTTCGATGCGGGTCTAATTTGACCATTACAGTTACACAAAAATTCAATAAGATCCTAAGGTCAATACCTATTGGATTATAATGATAATATAGTTAATCAATTTCTTTAATTCCATATTTAAATCTTTTCTTTTCTCTAATCCTCATCTTCTCATGTCATCAAAATGAATATTAATCCAGTGATTATTGATTGAGTCTCGTTCCAAGTAATTCATTTGAAATTATGGTTCTGATTTTCCTCTTGCTTGTGGTGGTAAATGTATTACAATGATGGTAATTAAGACTTTGATGTTAATTGGTCATTTTAAGGATGAGTAGTTGACAATCAGAATGAATTTGATACCCACTTAACTCTGATTGTGATGAGACCACATCTAAACTATAGACATTCATATAGTCAATTGAACAGCAATCGAAACATTAATTACTTTGATTTGTTTTTTCTTCCTCTTCAGAGTCTTTCTAACAATTAACTTTGATTTGTTTCGATTAATGTGATAACAAGTTTATCTCTTTACACAGGTAATCAAGAGGAGGAGGAAGAAGAAAATAAAAGCAGGAGAAGCGAAATTTGTCCCCAGACTAACGATTAATTGAATTACCACCAAAGCAGAGGAGAGAGAAGCTCACAGACAAGGTTACTTCTCTCTCTCTCTCTCTCTCTGTGTGCATGAGAATCAACAAGTAATAAGATTCGGATCCATTGGCGTTCACCTTGAGGGCGATCAGAAAAAAAGTAAAAAGAGAGGCGAATCCCCCTGAAGTAAGAATTATCTTCACAACAACATGGCAGAAACATCTCAATCTTCTACCTTATTATTCTGATGATTAACTCTATATATTGGTAAGACCTCCAACAGTAGAAATTAAGGTGCTTCCCTCTCCATCATTCTAAGTCTCATCATCTTCATCTCAGGGTGTTGTTTTTTATAAATATTCCTCTTGTATCTCAATTACGGATTCAGGATAAAAGAGAAAGAGAGAGAGAGAGAGAGAAAACAAGAATTATGGGAATGACAAGGCGAAGCTCAGTTAGGAAATTTATCATTCAGATTCCAATCTTTTCGATAGTTAAAAGGAAAAATTGAAACATGGGTGATCCTGATTTTCCACTCCTAACATTTTAATTTCATCTCTTCTCACTCTCCTCTCTCTCTCTCTCTCTCTCTCTCTTCCATTTCCCCCTGAAATTCTCGACTGTCTCTCTATGCAAGTTAATCTAAAAAACGAGTCAAAACAAGTCTTGATCTTGTTGATTTCTCTTTCAAATATCACATCAAATTTGACGTATTTTCACCTGATTTATTTATTTATTTGCTTCTCTCTGTTTGTGGTTAAATTACAAAGATTCATCTTCATTGATGATTTTTCCTTTCAAATATTCACTCAATAGTTTTTCGTTATCAATCAACTGATTGTCATTATATTTGAACATTTTCTTGCCCCAGAACTGTCATTAACTTTTTAAATACCAAGAAACAAATATTAAACTAATCAAGATTTCATTTCATTCATTTGGTTAACAGGTAAATTAACTTGAATACGATCAAGTTAATCATTATTGTCATCATTAAAAACTAAAGTCAATCAATTTGAGGCAATTTGAAAAAGTATCAATTCCTTAACTAAACTTGGAAATTTCAATTTGATGAAAAATTGAAACAACTAATTAACTAATTCAAATCACCAAGATGATTAAGTTTGGTAAGTTAATCTCTCAGATAATCACCAGATTTAAAAAACTAATTATCATATGGATTAAGAAATTGTTATGAAACTTTTTCCATCAGTAAATTGAAACAATTAAAATTAGATCATGAAAGATAAATCGAGTAGGTTGATTAATTGTTCATCTAATTAGAAAATTAATCAATAATCAATCAGTATGTGTCTTCAGAATTTGTAACAATTAAAAATCAACCATATTCATCACAATATTAGTTGTAATTTTTTAATTGCAATTGAATTTTGCTTTTTCTTAATCATTACAACTGATTGTGATTTAAGGTAGCGTGAAGATTTAAATTAGGTTTAATTATTGATTAATTTGATCAATTTTCTATTCGATAACACCTACAATTAAAGTATATTGTTATTACATTAATCAACTTTGACCTAATTGCTATTGTTTATTAACCTAAATTATTGGGATAATAACATTACCATAATCCTCTGCCTTTATCCAATTAACTTGATTTCTTAATTGTTAATCATTCTTACAATTAACAGTAAGATGAGTTAACAGTTACAATTTAATATTCCAAGTTGAAAGATTTATTATCTAATCATTGAGATACAATTTTATTTATAGTTTTGAATGAGTTAATTACAATTTAATCAACTTAATTTTCTCTTTAATTTTTTTTTCTTCTTCTTCCTTTTATTCTGTTTACAGGATTATGACAATTAAGGAACAATGGATTCTAAATAATGGATTAAGAGATGAATGATTTACTGGGAAAATAAGGATCACTCATAAAAGCTCAACAATCAATCGTGTTGATTTGCGATTAAATTGAATTGTTGGGATATCAGTTGATTAAATGAGATTATATTATTTGCCATTTACAAGGATTGATGAACTAAATTTGATGAACAATCAGATATGAGATTTGAATACATTATTACTCATTATTGTTTCTTTTTACTTAATTTCAATGTTTGTTTTTCAAATGATTAAAATTGTGATGATCTTGATTATCACTGATGATTTTCTGTCTATTCTGTTATTCTGATTCTTTATTCAGTTTACAATGAATTTTTCTTTATTCTTTTTACTCTCATTCATCAGATGAATTATATTCAATGAATATACTCCTGAGATCAGATAACTTGCTCACTCTCTTTCTTTTTCTTTCTTTCTCTCTCTCTCTCTCTTAATTTGCTCTCTCTCTCTTACATTTTCTTCATCTTAACCATGCACTTTACTTTTTCATCTATTTCCTACTTTTTTCCATGTCTCATCTCGAAGGAATCGAAAACAACTCTCACTTTCATCTCATCTCTTAGTTCTGACTCCCTGAGCTTCTTTATTATCCTCAATCTCTCTCCATCTCCCTTTCTCTCTCCTTCTCTCTCCCTCTCCTTCTCCTTTTCTCTTTTTCTCTTACCTCAGCCAATATTATCTTCTTTATCATTTCTATCTCCATCCTTGCCATCTTCATCTTCATCCTCATCCTCATCTCCATCATCATCATCGTCTTATTTTCCATGTTCATCTTATTTCCAATCCCATGAGAATTTGCATGATGAATTCTGAACCAAAGACTGAAGCTCAATTCTCATTGGAATAACCATTAATGTACATTTCTTGAGTTCGTTACAATTCAAAACAAGTAACGTTCATAAACTAATATTGAAAAGAAGAATCTTCATCTCTCTCTCTCTCACTTTTCTTTCATCTTCTTTATCAACAACAAGATACCTTAATGTTCACGATTCCTATTTCCTGTTCCATCGTTAGTTTAATAATAACAAATTCTTTTGATTATTGTGATACTTTTATATACTTTTTTGGCAGCAATCAAAGACAATTATCATTTCGATTAAATCGTTTAGGTCAATGAAACTTTATTCTTAATCTTTTTCCTGGTAACGCTTCTGTTAACATTTAGCAATCTTGTAAAATTAATTGTTACACTACTACAAAGAAACTGAAACAATTAAACACTAATTTTGATCCTCAAGACAATCAATTATTGACAACAATTGTTTTCTTCCTTCGGACTAACGACCACAAGATAATCTCTTAAGTTATCAAACTCCAAATGAATAATAAACAAAATTCTAAAAATTCTATTCCAAATAATCAATACGTTAGAATTATTTGATCAATCGTCTATTGGTATTCATCTAAATTGATGTTCTACCAATTGAATAACATTACAATCGATATGATAATTAAACGAATATAATCAAAAGTAAATGAACAATAAGTAACATCTGCAAATAATGAGGACGAAGATGCGAATGATGATTAAGACGAAACCAAAATTAAGTTGAGTGTCGAAAAGAGCATTACAATTGGATACGCGATGTGGTTCCTTTTGTGGGTCAATATCGAGGCCTTTTCTTGTCCCTCTTGTTGTTACTCTAAAGGTCCGTCCGTCTTTTGTAATAATATCTTCATTGACCATAAGCCTTAATCTTCAAGCTTAGAGTTAAATTGTTACCATTATAATGTTTACTCATTTTTACCCGTTAACAAGTCAATCTAATGAACGGACTCTCAATGTGTCCCAATTATTGTCTCTCTCTCCAACTCTAATGAACATCGCTGGTCAAATTAACCAATCCAACGTTAAATAAATGACTTTTTTTGCTCTAAACTAAACTGGTTAATTAGATTAATTTATGACCTACGAAAAAAACAAACCTAATCAAGATTTCAAATTTACCTTTTCGTGTATCTCTCTCTCTCTCTCTCTTTCTTTCTTTCTTTCTTTCTTTTTCTCTTTCTTTGACTTCTTCAGTGGCCACAGTTACTCCCAAAAATAAGCATAATAATGAAGATGAAGATGTTATTTACCTGTGTGTGAGCAAAGATGAGAAGTGAAAACCTTGATAAACTTATAAAGATGAGGAAAAAAAAGAAGATGTTAAAATTGGTTCCACTTGCCAATTATTACCTTTAACCTCTAAAAAAGGTTAGAAAAATTTTAGCAACTCTGTTCCTTTATTTGGTGAGCATGTTGATTAAGATGCTAAAGGTAAAAATTGTTCGTGAGCTGGTCAAGAAAAGGGGAGTGACATTATACAGGAATCGGGCTATTTAATCAGTTGCCTCACACAACCACACACACACACGAGGAAACAAGGTAACATTTGCTACAGAAACAAATTATATCAATCGATTTACCTGTTAGAACTTGTTGAGAACTTTCTAAACTTTCTATTTCCTCTTTTTCTATCTTCTTTTTTTTCTCAAACTTTTCAAATTTCAAATGATTCAATTGATGGATCAGAGAAAAAGAAGAAAATAAATTAAAGTTTTCGAACCTTAAAATGACCTTTTTTTTTTACTTTACTTGGACTCACCCATTTTCTTGCAAATTTGAGTATCATTGGTCAATCATCTCTGAGTCTTATAACTTTCATGCCCTCAGGGTTAACATAGATTATTTTACAATCACCTAGGTAACAATTTAGTTATCAAATTGAAAGCTTTTCAAAGCGTTTCTATTAGTTGTTGTTGTTGCCATTTTTTCTCTCTCTCTCTTTCCAATGACAATGATAATGATAATTATCATGGTGATAAGGATGATGTGGATAACCGAGTTGATAATTTAGGTGCTTCCATCATCCGTTTATTTGATCATTATCATTGTATTATTTTCGGCAGATCTCTGAAAAGTGACCTCATCGACCTCCTACCCACCCTGTTGATCTTTATATTGTACATGTCACTTGAATTCTCAAGAAAGAGATTGAATGTTCAAGTTTTCTTTCATTCTCTCTGATTAATCACCACCACCTCCTTTTCCTCCTTCACTTTACCTGGACAAAGATAAAGGTAAAAATGCAATATAATAAAAACTCTCCTAAGGTGTTATACTGAAAAGATGTGACCTCACGTCGGGAGAGAGAGAGAGAGAAGACAAAAACTCACTTCTCTTTTTTTTCTTCTCCTTATCATCTTCATCTTCATCTCTCTCTGTTTGACTTTTACCTTTTATTATTATATTGAACTAATATATTAGGGTGATGTCCAAGCTCCCTGTTGATTAAACTCCACAGGTAACTTTCTTTCAAAGATTTTAGCAAAAATCAAGTTCCACCATCACCATGATCATCATTGCATCTTCATCATCATCTTCATCATCTCCAATCATCTTCATTGCATTTTAATCATATTTTTCAATTTGCATTTTGTTTTCTTTTTCAACAACAACAACAAATCTTTCATATTGTAAACATTTTTTTCTCTATCATTTCATCAATCATCTCATCATCTTCATCGTCTTGATCATCATCTTGAAAGACAATGAATTATCATGTTAATAATGTTATCCAAATTAAACAACAACTTAATTCATCTTTTGTCATCAAGACTAATCCCATTAATCATTTATATTAACTGACCATTGGCACCGGAGATTACACTTGATTTGTTTATGGAAAAACATAATGAAAGGTCAACAACAACAACAACAACAATCAGTAATAGATTAACAACAATTTAAATAACGTAAAAATATTTGCAACAATTTAATTCTTGTATTAATACTTTGATTGTTATCACTAAATCTTAATAATGATGTTTAACTTGTTTAATTGTGATTAATATTCACGATTTAACAGTAAACAAAAGTTACATAAATATAATATTAATCGAATTGATTAACAATAATAATTTATTGAACAATATAAGTGATGAAAATGAATAAATAATAGTAAATATAATCAATCAAATAAATTGTGTTGATTGTTGGTCAATACAATTCACCTTAATCTTGACCAACCACAGAGTAAATTTCCAGGTAAATAAAGGAAATTTATTCATTCAGAATAATCTAAACAATTGATTAACATTCATTAGAATCTGAGAATTAGGTAAAATTGTGAACAATATTAACAGAAAGGAAGAAGATGAAGAAGAAAAATTCAAAGAATGAACCAAAGAAGATTCAAAATAAAAGAAAAGGATGGAGAAGAAGATGATGAAGAAGATGCTAAAATCCAAAGAGGATGAAGAAGATGAGAAAATAATAATAAAGAAGAAGATAAAAGATGAAGATAAGAAGAAGCCTTTTTAAGACTAAAGACCAAACTCCCTCACAATAAATTACCTATCATCTTATCTGATAATCTTGGATACTCTGTAAAACTGTTGAAACGGAAACAGGTTCCAATGAGATGATGATATTTGATGATAGAGTTGATGATAATGATGATGATCAGCACACACCAACATGAGAATGACTCTCCTTTTGTGGAGGAGCCTAACAATACCTTCATCTTACCTGGAGGTCTCCTGACCTCTCTCCCTTTACCTTTAAGTGCCTTGTAAGGTAAATCAAGGAATCATAAAGACCTTTTAAAAAAAGGTAAGTCTTTCAACTAGAGTAGAGAGAAAGCAAAAAAAAAATAGAAATAAAAAAAAAGGTAAAAAATTAGTCTTAACCTCTCCTACTATTACAATCAACTGATCATTTCGTTGATCAGCAATTAAGGATCACTATTAACTTTTATATTATTATTATTATTATTATTATTGGTGTGATTGGATCTGTAAATTGTTGAGGGTTAATTGTGGGAGGAAGTGGACTGATGATTAGAGTCGAGGATCAGGACGATGGACATGATGAGTCCATCGTTTCGGATGGACACAATTAGATAATTACATCGGCGGAACGTGACAATGACATTAAAACCATTAATGATTAGTTACTATTTAACTGTTGAACCGTAATCAGTATCGTAACTATTTCGCTTCAATAGCTTTGACGTTGGTTAATTGTTGATAATAATAATACAATAATGACGTTGACATTAAAAAGTTTCATCAACTTTTAATTAACGTATGGATAGTAAATTTGAGACAAAATTAAAATGATTATATTTTTATTATTATTTGTCGCAAGCTTGTCATTTTTTCACAGAAATGAGATAATTAGCTAATCTGATGAATTAAATTTTTTAAAATTCTCTAAACTCAACAGATGAGTTAGTATTTCAAGTTACCTAACAAACCATCGAAGTAATTTTAATTGCGTGATTTA